GTACCATTTTACAGTCCCACCAGCAGTGTATGAGAGTCCCAATCTCTCCACAACCTCGCCAGCATTTGTTATTTTGTGTCTTGTTGAACTTTGCTACTAGTGCTGGAGCAAGATGGTATCTCATTGTTGTTTTGATTTGCATCTTTAATAATTGATTTTATTTTTGATGCTGAGAATATACACAACAGACATACACACCAATTCACCATTTCTACATGTGCAGTTCAGTGACATTGTTTACATTCTTGGAGCTGTGTAACCATTCTCATCCTCCTTTTCTGAGTTGTTCCTCCCTCATTAACATAGATTCACTGCTCCCTAAGTTTACTACCTCATCTTCTGAGCTGCAGTTGTCAATCTGATCCCATACGACAGATCTTAAAAGAACTCAATTTTCAAGACAGATGTTCTTTACTAGTTAAGCTAAAGTACTATTTGGTTATAAGAACACTTCAGGCGGTATTTTTGTTTTAAGGTTCAAAGATTATCTCAGAGCAATAATTTATGGGGTTCATCTAGTATACACGGCTCCAGAAACTGTGGAGTCTACGAGAATTTGGAAGTCTGTTCTGTATTTTCCTCCTTTTGATAGGATTCTTCTATAGAATATTTGATCAGAATGTTCAGTGATGGTAGCTGTGTACCATCCAGTTCTTCTGTTCTCCTGGCAAAGGAAGCAGTTGTTCATGGAAGTAATTAGTAAATGTAATTAGCCACTCTGGGAGCTCTGGTAGCATAGTGCCTAAGGCACTTGACTGCTAACCAGGAGGCTGGCGGTTCAAACCCACCAGCCACTCCTCGGAAGGAAGGTTAGGCAATCCTACTTCAGTAGTGATAACTGCCTCGGAAACCCAAGGAGGGGTCGCTATGAGTTGGGGCCAACTGGACGGCAAATAACAACAACAACAACAACAATTAGCCACACATTTCATATCATCCTCCTATTGCAACTCTCCTTCTTCCTTTATTGCTTCAGGTGAATGTGGTACCTTGGATGGCTGCTTACAAGTTTTTAAGACCCCAGGCACTATGTAACAAACTGTTGCTGTTGTTATGTGCAGTGGAGTCTGACCCAACTCATAGCGACCCCTTCTTGGGAGGCAGGAAAGAAGTACTGAATGCGTTATTATGTCAATTAACTGCGACATTCCATGAAACCATGATCTTAAACCTCCAAACCAAAGAAGCAAATCCATGAGGTGTGTGTATAAACAGTCTCAACAGCTACTCTTTTCTTTTTTTTGTAGCTATAAATATATCATAAAATGTATACATTAAATTTTAATTCTATCCTTATCCCAAGAATTCTAAATACTCTGGATTTCTGGGACTTTCTGGGGTAGTTAATACAAACAAGTCTTCTTAACCACATCAACTTAGTTCTGGGGCTTTATCCAATGCTATTTGGATAAAAAATTTTCCCTTGCTCTCAATTTTCTAAAAACTGAGTTGAAAGGAACCTATCTATTAATTCTTATTATCATCAAACTAGACAAATACTTACGGATTCTTCTTGAACACTAACTTCAAGTGTTTCAGCAACAACTGCAGCTAAATTAAAAGATGACTTATCAGTGGAGTAACTGCTTATTCCATGTGTTTCTAAACAGGCAAAAAGCAAAAACAAAAACAAAAAAACACTCCAATTATACAATTATATTAACCAGGTATATAAAAAATATCAAATAAGAAAAAGGCTTAAAGACTCACTTTAGAAGACAGTACTGGATACATTTTTAAATTCTGTGCAAAAAGTCCAAAATAGCCACTATAAAATGGTAACAAACTGTAGGTAGCTACAGCCTACACATGCTATACTTTTTTAGTTGTTAAGCTTTCTTTTACCTAAATGACTGAAATATCACAGGTACATTATTTTTCTTATTGTCACTGAAAAGTACCATGAAAGAATACATATTCATAATGAATTTACTGTGACCTATGATACAACATGAAAAACAAACTGTAATTACAGTACTTTTCATGAAAACATGTAGCATGAAAAATTTTGAGCACTGCATAAGTTTCAAATTTAAAGCTAACACTTATTTATCACCTGTGTTCAATTACTTCTAAAGATTAATGTATGCAGAATTTCAATAACTCAAAAAGTATTTATGGAACAACTAGTGTGTTACAGGCACCATGTTAGACACTAGTTAGACACTAGATGAAAAGAAAAGGTTCTTGTCCTCAAGTAGCTTATGGGCTACAGTTGAAAAGAAAGGTAAAAAGAGAATTACAAGAAAATGTGATAAGCATTACAACAAAGGTCTATGTAAGGGGCAGTTTGAACACAGAGGAACTCCTAAATGGAACTTGAATAATCAAGAAAAGCTATATAAAACAATACCTAAGCTGACCCTTGGGAGAAAGAAGAATTTAACATGTTAGCTGGATTGGGGGTAGACAGAAGGATTCTAGATATGTTTTT